TCCTTTGTGTTTTTAAACTCCATACACCTTCACTGGAATCATTTGAATAATTTCAGCTCTGGAATTGATTATCTGCACTGAAAAGAGGTCAGAGATTAACTTGAAAATTACATCTTCGTAACATCACAAAGTAGAAGCTTTAGAAATGTAGGCAGTCTAATAATGCAAAATTATTGTGTGAACATGTGTGAATGAAACATAACACAACTCCCTTTATGTTTTTGAAGAGGTAACAATATTCTAACATGACTTAAAGCTCACAAAAGTCAATATTGCATGAAATAGGACCTTTAAAATATTCACAAGAAACAAAATCTGGCATAAAGTTTACATGGTGACATAACATTGTTTTTGAGTATCAACGAAAGCAAAACAACATGGTAGATAGATATAAAATCGGATTACAGTGAACTTAAAATACTATGGTGAAATTCTTACTATACCAGGAAAGTATGTAGAATGCAAACTTTCTGATTCCAGTTTATGTCTAATATTTTGATGAGGGATGCACTGATCTAATCCTGGTGAAAAAAAATTGATCAGATATTGGATATTAGATAGACTGTATAAAAAAGTGGACTAAGCGAGTGTGACGTCACCCATAGCACTCAGCGCCGCTCAAATGAGGCTCATAATGCTAGCAGTTATAGGAGCGAATTAGGAGCCAGGCTTTGACAGACAAAATCGTAAATAAAACCAAAACACCAGAATCATGTAGAACGGGTTAATATGAACAAATTAAGACCAAAATCACGAGGCTCAATACAGCAGATACAGCGAGAGGGGCGACAATATTCCAATGTGAGTCTATGGGAGCCAGGATCAGAACAAGCCGGAAGAGCCTGCATGTCAACTTCCTATTTGGAACACGGCGGCTAGTGTGTGAGCCATGTCCATTTATATACAGTCTATGATTGGATATAAACTGATGTAATAGGACTGTTTACATCTCATAAAACATAATCTCATAATCTTTGATCTTTTTTTAATTATACAAAGATGCTCTGTAATTACTTACAAACTAAATTATAGCTAGATAATACATTTTAATCTGTTTTGTCTTATTTTATTTTTGTTTTAAGAAAATAAATGTGGTTTTCAGTTTCTGTATAGTATCGGTTGATATCGAGTATTGGGAGATACTAATCCTATTGGAACTGAAAAAGCTGGATCGCTGCATCCCTAATTTTCACATATAGCTATGGGTATAAGGAACTGTCAATCATTAGCATTGGCATTTTAGTCTACATTTCTCCAAAGGGATGAAAAGATCCTGTACTCGACTAAAGCACTGAAATCCCTCTGTCTTAAGCAGTGGATAATGACACAGAATTAGTGGGCATCGTACAACAGAGACAACAGAGAGATCCTTTGAGGCCAGACTTACAAGTGGTGATGCATTTGATAATTAGGAACGTCTGCCTCAAGAACTCGGGATCAATACGGCCAAATGAGGGGAAACCAAAGTGCATGTGGAACAATTGGCATCATCATTTATTGTGGAGGAGACAACTGAAATACTTTAACTTACAACTCGCAAATAAAGTCTGTGCGTCCAATTTTTAGGGTGTAGCAGATAAGTCAGCAAAAAAGGTTTATTACTTGGCAGCAGTGGTATCATAAGATAGTGTATTTGGAATGAATCTCTGTCATCTACATTGATTACTTGGAAGAAAATACCCAACACAAGAGTAAAGCAGTGGCCTAGAATGAATAAATCTTGCTGGTCTAAAATACAAATATTTCTTTGAATATTTTATTTAAAGAAGACATATTGTGCTTGAGTCTGCAATATAGTTACACTCTATAATACCCGTGGATGTGGACATTTTAAATTGCAATATTCATCTGAAGCAACTTCATAAAATAAACAAGGCCGCTGACTTCTGTGTTAGAAAACTGCGGTGCCCAATGGGGGATGACGGGTTCATAAAAATAAAAAAACAAAGAGCCCCAATGTTGTCTGCAAGTCCAATGGATACAGATCATGCTAGCGACTGGAATTTTTTTCATTTGCGCACAGAGAAAAATCCTGCACATCGTCTTACTTGCAAAATGTGAGATTTAATAAGACATACAGTACAACGTTTCATCAGATTTTTTTTTTTTGCCTGATGAAGTAGCCTGATTCATCAGTCGGTTTCACTTTGTGGAAACCATCTGACCTCGCAGCATTAGGACTTGTTTGCTCAACGGTAGGCGGGTACTTTTTTAATTTAACCAATCACTGCTATTTGGTCGTGATGTATGTAAGGCACCAAATTCCGTAGGAAGAAGGGCAATAATGTCTTTCCGCTTGAAAAAATTCACCAAACATTCTCTTTCTTCCAGCTTTAAATCCTCAATCTCGGGAATTGTTGCCAACACAGAATATATGGCTTCATCTACATCTATCTCGACCTCTTTGTTTACTGTTGTGTTGTACCACAAAAGGGACCCAGACAGGTGCTTGAGTCTGATGTCATGGTTTCACAGATCTTCACTGATTGGCTGGTACAACTTCTGGAGTTCTTGCAAAGCATCTAGTGTATTCCAATTCCTGACCTATTCGCTGGAGAGAAATTAAATTGAGCGGGCTACTGATGAAGGCCTAGTGCTGAAACATTTTTCTCTATGTTCTTGGTCTGCTCCCTCTCCTCCAACACACCTATCTCAAGTAATTGATGTGCGAAGTTCTCAATCTCTCTTCAAAATAACTATGTGATGTTTCCAAATCCTGCGTGTATCACCAATTAAAAAAATGAAATTGCAGACATGTACCTGTGGTGGTGAAAACACTGACTGATCAGAGCAATGACGCCTTCAATACAGAAGTATAAAGATTATTCAGATATGCAAGATTCTCTCTAAAGACAATTTCAAGCGTGTAAATGAGAAGGAGAAAACAACTATAAAGGCTAAAGGTTAAAGGCTTTAAAAAGTCGGTTTGCATAATAGGACTACTTTAATGTGAAGTGAGTGATAAAATAATACAAATAAATGTTCCTGAAATGTTGCACAGTATGGCATTAAACAAATTAATCTTGCATTTGTTCATTTATTACAGGTGTTTTATTGCTATTAGAATACCTCTGGAAAACTGAACAGGCTTTTCTCTCCACTGCTTGGACACATACGTTTAATGCCATACCGTGGAACATTCTCTTACAGGCATGTGGTGGACTCTCAACCATAAGTTACATAGTGTACCTTTAAGAAGACCTACTTCTTTACAGTTTAATTTATGTCCATGCAACAAACGCACATTGTTCCCTTGTGTTTTGTATAAAGGCACTGTCTGCAATATTTATTAAAACACAGTTACATAAGAGCATTGTTGTGCAAAGTGAGGCTTAATTTGAAGAGAAAAGGACTAAAACACAGTAAAAGCCTTAAACAAGAAGAGCGAAAACTATGTTAAAATTTGCCCATTTAGAAAACCATAAATTAATCATGAGGCACACAAATGTATCTGCTAATTTGCAGCGCAGTGCATAGTGAGTACGTGATCACAATAAAACACATGTGCTTACATCAATGTGAATGGCAAATGAGGCACGGAGCACGAAAAGCTGGTGTAATCCCCAGAGTCAGACTGTACTTTCTGTATAGTACGCTATATAGAAAACTGGAAAACTATAGCTGAATTGCTGTACTATCACATTTAAAAGATGTATCACTACAGAAAGTTGCCTATATAAGCATTAATACAGGAAAACAGGTTTGTTATAATCCTTCATTCTTTCTATGTAGACCAGATTTCAACAGTTTTTGCGAACAAGATGTTTCGGCTCCCACCCAGAAGCCATTTTCAATTTTATGGTACAAATGTTTCAAGCCAGTACCATCAAAATGAAACTGGCTTCTGGATTTGTAGTCTTTATCACAAAAACAGTGTCTATTTGACCATCATTGAATCTGTGTCTACACCTACACTTCATTGCAAATCAAAATGTTTGTAAAACCCCTTTAAAGGACAACACTGCATTTAGCTTTGGCTCTAAAAGTTTGTAGTGTATAATTACCTCCTCAAAACATACCTTGAGATGTGTTTTGTTTCATTCACACATGTTTGAGTAATCCTTTAATATTATGTCTGTCTAGTGTTTACATGTCCAAAACTCATGGTGCCTTCATGTCCTATGGTGATTCTTGTAAATACCAAAAACTGACATCAAATTTGCAAATGAACACTCACTCACGTCTTAATTTTGACCTAAACTTTGACCTAAACTTTGACCTTTCAACATGGAGGAGATAAAAAAAGTTAAAAATTCTCTACTATACATGATCAATAAAATATACACCATATTATTTAGCTTTCTGTTTGCATTTTGATGCATCTCTTCTTGCTGTAGCAGATGAATTAGCAAGTCTAAAACTGTTTTACCCAAGTAACTGGTCAGGATAAACTCTGGGTTTGCCATGTTTTACTTCACCAAGACAACAAAAGCACTTGAACACAACACACTTGTAATTTTCCACATTTTTCCATACCACATGAAGGCAGCGTCAGACTACTCTTTTCCACCTTGTAATGGTAGTTTTCAAGTTAACAGTTACCCTTTAGCTTTTCTTCAATAGAGATGGGCTGAAATTATCCAGATGATTCTAATGTAAGTGTATGGAGTTTAAAAACACAGTAGAGCACAGTGGAAAAACCAGAACAACAAAAATATTCAGATATGTTTTTGATGAGGAAACAACATTATAACATGGATCAGAATTATTATTATTTTTTTTAATATGGGCTCCTTAAATGAAGTACAGAGGAGATAATTTAAAACCATCTTGAGAAAAATGGCCTTGATTGTTTGAAATTTGAAATTTGATCAAATATATGCTAATGAAATAAACGTTTCATGCTGCTTGGATAATTTTTCATTTTTTTTCCAAAGTCTTGTATGCAAAAAAAAAAAACAGTTCCACAAAATAATCTCTCCCTGCATCATCTTCAGTGGCAAGATGTCTTGATTTTGTTCTTTCTCACTTCCTGTTTTGTATTTGCTCTTTTTCTCCAGTTCTTCACAGACCCATGTGCCAGCAGCCCCTGTCTCCATGGCAACTGCAGCCATAGCGACGGCGATGCTGGGGAGCTGGCCTTCACCTGCGAGTGCAGCGACGGATACGAGGGAGTGAGGTGCGATCAGATCCTGCTGGACCTCCCGCCCGCCGAATGGGAGCCGGCCACCCCCTCTGCGCCCGAGCCCGCCACCCCGGTCGCCCCGACAACCACGGCCGCCACTCAGCCGCCCCAGCCAACCACAGTGTCCTCCACCACACCGCCTGCCCCGCCCACTCTGCCGCCATGGCAACCCAAGTCTGGACAGAGGCTGCTGGTGGTGCCCTGGGAGCCGGATAGGGTAAGACAAAGTGCGCTGTCATGTTTTGATTGGATTGTAGATCAGTGTTTTGGACTATAGTATACTCTAGGGCTGGGAATCATTGAGTCCTTCATGATTAGATATTATTCACGATATAACTCACGATATAATATTATCACAGTAAGGCCATACATTACAAAATCAATATATAACACATTACATTTTACAGTTTTAAAGAGACTGCATACACTATACAAATGCACTACTTTAACTGTACAATATTAACTAAACTCATTTACTTTCTCCAACTAAGCAGCAAAATTGTAGTGAGGAGTGTAAAAATAACCAAGTCTCACAATACGATATCATCACGGTATGAACCTCATGGTATGGTATTTTTTGCGATATCGTGGGAAAGCTCACAATGTGCTGAGAAGGTTCACGATAAGGGATGCAACAATATCCAAATTTCTCGGTACAAAACTTTCACGATATACATCTCACGGTACGATATTTATTGCGATATTTTGTGGAGGCTAACAAAACTGTTAATATGTTACTTTTTCCTCTTAAAATGCCTTGACAAGACTTAATCCAAAGAACAAAGACTTAAAAGTGCTTAGAACAGTTATTTCTTCATGTAGTCTACACTAAAATGGAACAAAGGATCATGGTCTATGTAGTTTTTTTTTAGCTATTGCTGCACCATAACTCTTAATTTAAGCAATGGGACTTGTAATTTGATATATTGTGATGGTTCACGATATTATTGTGAGAACTTTGACGATACGATATCACGATATTTCGGTTATTATTGCATCTCTACTCATTATTTTGATATTGTTGTACACCCCTGCTATACGCAAAGAAAATATTACAAATCTTCTCAGGTTGAAGTGATCGTGTAGATGTGGCTATAAAAAATATTGCCTTATCCCTAAAGGTACTGTATTCTTCAGAATGTGAAAAAAGAAGGAATTCATATTATTAGTATTTTTAAACTGTAAAACCACCTGTAAATGAATAAATATCAGGTAGAAAATGTTACACTGTTTAAATCCAGGCTCAAAGCATTTCTGTTTAGCTGTGCATATGAGTGAAAGGTTTCCATTTTTCTTTCAACACTCTTCTCTCTTATTATTTATGTTTTGATTTGTTTGTATTGTGATTTTAATGTATTTCTTATTCTGTAAAGCCCTTTGAATTACTTTGTGTATGACTTGTGCTATAAAAAATAAACTTGCCTTGCCTAATGTTATACTGTGGAACATTCCAGGCAGAACAGTGACATATCCACAGATCCAAAGCACCTTTAAAGAGCTATCATTAAGAGTATTTTTACTTTTTATATGTAGTGGAGTGTGATCAGGAGTAGTTGTTTGTTTTATTCAAAGTGCATGAATAAGTGATGCTGTGTTGTTGTGTTGTAGGTGACTGAGGGCCTACGCTGTTTAAGCCCTGAGCTGTGTGAGCTCACATCTGGTACTCTCACTCTGGCTCTGGAGGTTCCTGAGGAGACAGCCGTCAAGTAAGCTCCCTCTCTCCACAGCTGTTAACATCTCAACTGCTTTAGGGCTATGGAGTTTTTCTGATTTTGTTTATCATGTTTTTTTTATTATTTCGAAACCACGACTATTTGAACAGATAATGATTTACTATCATTCATTTATTCAGTGTATTTCTTACGGTGTAAGGAGGCAGCTGTCAAGTAAGCTCCCTCTCTCCACAACTGTTTAAAATCTCAACTGCTTCAGGACTATAGAATTTTTAAGCTTCTGTTTATCATGTTTTTATTAATATTATTTTGAAACCATGACTATTTGAAAATATAATGATTTACTATCACTGATTTATTCACTGTATTACTTATGGCTTAAAGGTGCATAAACTAACTTTTCTGGTAGCAGGTCCTCTGTCAGTCTCGCTGAACTATTTCACAGTATGGCATTCAACTTTATGGATTTATCAACATGGAGAAAAACAGGTTACATCCACAGGCAAGGTTACAGATCAGCTCTGTGCAGAAGCGGCCCTACTCACTCAAATGCAAGATTGATAATTTGGCAATGACAAAGTGTAATCTAACCAGGCTGGCACCACCTAGTGCCTCCACTCAATTTAATTTCTCTCCAGCGACTAGGTCAGGAATGGAAATACACTAGACAGTTTGCAAGAACACCGGAAGCTGTAGACTACGCACCGGCCAATCAGCGAAGAGCTGTGAAGCCATGGCTGGGGCCCTTTTTTTGGTACAGCACAACAGTAAACAAAGCGCTTGAGATGGATGTAGACGATTACGATTCCCAAGATCAAGGATTTAAAGCTGGAACAAAGAGAATGTTTGGTGAATTTTATCAAGGGGAAAGACGTTATTGCCCTTCTTCCTACGGGATTTGGGAAAAGCTTAATATATCAGTTAGCCCCATTAGCAGTGCATTACATACACACCAAATAGCAGCGATTGGTTGAATAAAAAAAGTACCCGCCTACTGTTGCGTGAACAAATCCTAATTATGCGAGGTCAGACAGTTTCAGGGAAGTGAAACCCGCTGATGAATCAGGCTAAGTGTAATCAGCTACTCTTCTTCTTTTTTTATTTTTTTTATTTTAGTGTTACCCCTTGGACTCTTAAGAGTAAAGCAAACCAGAATGTTATCACCTCAAAGCTAAAGAATTTGATCCCTAGCTTGTACCTAACTATGATATTCCTTGTGATTTTTCTTATGAGACTCTGATACCTTATGTCCCATAGTCAGGGATGCCCCAACTTGCATTTAAGCACTTCTGAATTCAAAGAAGGTCAACAAAATGTATGTGTCAGCTTTTATATGCATTTTAGGAAAAAACATGGAAGAAATCTCACTTTAATTAATGATACTCACAACAAAAGCACACTGCACCAAAGAACCTTGAAATAGAGCCTCCCTTACTCAGCATTTTGTCTGAACATGAACCATCCTCTCTCTTCAACACTGGCTACTATCTCCTACAACGTCCGCATTCACCTCATTAAAACATTTTGATAAGCACTTCCATATAATGTTTGTCTGTAAATAGTAATAGGTCTTGGACAACGTGAGAAAATGAATTATGGAGAAGACTGTTGGATCAAGGTGAACGGGTGCTTGTCCTTGGTGATATTAAAATGGTGGGTGACTAATCAACAGATGTGACTTTGTTTACAGCAAAACAACAAAACATGCTAACATCCAACACAAGTACATGTTTAGAATCAAGTTATTTTAAAGGTGTATTATGGTATATTTATCAATACAGGCAATGCCATTTGAATTTTCTTTTGATTGGATACTAGAGGTGAGAGATATTAATTGGGAAAAAAACCCCAAAATGTTCTGGAGATTTGCAAACAGAATATCGAGTATACAAGCTGTGGACAAACTTGTTGGTACCCCTCTGGCAATGAAAGAAAAATCAGCAATGGTCACTGAAATAATTTGAAACTGACAAAAACAATAATAAATACAAATTTACAGAAAATTGTCCAATGAAAATCAAACATTGCTTTTCAAATGTGGTGATTCTGTTCAACAGAATCATTTGAAAAAACAAAATAATGAAACTGGCCTGGACAAAAATTATTTTACCCTTCACTTAATATTATATTGCACAAACTTTTGAGGCAAACTCTGCAAACAAATGATTTCAGTAACTGTCAATGAGACTTCTGCTCTAGTCAACTGGTATTCTGGCCCACTTCTCGTAAACAAAATGTTCTAAATTGTCTCAAGTCTTGACTTGACTTGAACCACAACCAAGACATAGGCACATTTTAGTACATTCTTGATTAGAGATTGACCAATATGATGATATGATACGATTTGAAGATTCCTGTTGTTTAGAATCCAGAGCAACTGATGGCTGATGACCTCTGATGATATTTTTGGCCTGATATTAAGGGGTGATTTTTTATTATTTTCTTCAAATTATGTAATTTTAATAACCTGTGCTCCAAACTCTCCCAGCACCCTTTACCACAAACCTCTAAGAGACTTATGTAGGCACGTTTTGTGCTTTACCTTCTTTGGATTAAAGTGTTCAAATAAAGCTTTGTGTTTATTTTTAGGCAGCAGAGTGACCAAAACTAAATATCGGCCTGTGCTGGAGATTCAAGGCCGATAGATGATATACTAAAAAGTCCAAATATCAGCCTTATATATCAGCCAAATTATATATTGCTCTATGTCTATTCTTGATGCACTGTTGTTAAATATTGTCTGAATATTGCTACCCTGCTGCATACCCTTTCTTTACGTGCTCAGGTAACATTTGAATAGAGCTGGGTATCATTGCCAATATGATACATACCTTGATATATAGGCTACAATATGATATGTTTTTCGATACAGTGCACTTTTGATTCAGTACAATTCAATGGCATGGACCGCACCACAACAATGGAATATGATAACGATATTTATTGATGATGGATAGATGTCATGGCTGGGGGGAGATTCAGGGTGGGGGTATAATCTTCAATCCAAAATGGTCACCCAGCTGAATCGGACCCCCCTCCTTCGAACTGAAGGATGGGCGAAAGACAAGGGTGGGAGGGAGGGGGTCAAAATCGCTGACAGACGGTGTTGTTGGAATAGGCCATATAAATAGAGCTTCTGGGTAACTGAAGGCATGGTTGAGATAAGCTGTGGTTGGCTGGAGTGGAGGTTGAGGTGTGATCCAGCTGATCCAGCTCCTGAATCTCGGTTTCTTCTTGTTACAATATATTTCAAATTGATTCAATACGGTTCAGTAAAAAACAAAGGCTAAATTGTGGCTGTGATACTAATAGTCTTTATTAAATCACTAAATTTGTGCAAAGTTAATGTGAAAAACACCCATTTTACACATCAAAACAGTGAATATGTCAAATATGTGGCAAAAACAAATTTCCTTTCTCCAAACATGCATCACAATTGTAGAACTCTCACAAAATAATTGAGTATAATATACCTAAAAATGCCCTCAGCAATATATCGATACTGCAGACCATGATCTCGATACTGTATAACCAAATTAAACTATACAGTATATCGATATTTCAGTATTTTGGCACACTCCTACATTTGAACCAGTTACCCCTCTGTTAGTGGGCGAGCATTTAGTCCACTGCACCACTGCCGCCCCACTTTTTGAATGTAGAGCACATTATATATACCTGCCCCCAAAAAACTGCTCATGATTCCAGCTTGAGCAGTTAGAGCGGCTAACTCTCTCCCCGGGGCACAGTGGACTCCAGCACCCTCATTTCACCTGCTGCTGTTGCCCCGACCAGTCTCTTATTATTTTGCTCAGCCCCCACAGCTCTTCTGACAGGCCTGAGTCCGCTTAAATGAGAAATCTGGGACAGCTGTAGTCCTGCCCCCTATCTGATAGATCTGATCCTGTAATTTACCTGTGAATGCCAACATGACCTAGAAAATGTCAGACTTTTTTTGCTCTGACCTGTAAAAGTGTAATTGAAAGGTGGCGTTTGACATTTGTACGATAATGTTTTCTGGCCTGGCAGGTTTTACAGGTGGTTGAAGAATAGATGACCTGCAAAAGTACTGTTATATGTTATTATTAGCAATTTTGGTCATAGTAGACGAGGGCATGGTGGCCTCATATCAGAGAGGTCGTGATCCCCCTTGGAGAATGAACTGTAACTGCATGGCCAAAATGGATTGCCAAAGTAATACTAAAACTAATATTGAAACTATATTATCATTTCAACATCATTTCAAGTACTGAAAAAAATTGCATAAATAGGACAACGTTTGGCCTTTGCTCTCTTCAGAACAAATATAAAACCACTTGGAAATATTTGAGAAACAACTATTGTTTTGTTTAGAAATTACACTCCGCGGTCTAAAGATTTTGTGTTTTTAAAATTAACTTTGCCATCAGCACTGAATGGCGAGACTTATTCTTATTTATCTGTAAAGGAACAGCACATATTAATGAACATTTGAAATGTAAATATGTAAAGATTATAGCCAGCGTGGCTATATCCATCTTCGGTCCCTCAGCAGGTTGATGTGAACTAATCTACAGGACTTGAAAAAGCAACACTTACACAAAAGAACATAACACCAGCACACTCACTATACATACAACACACTCACTGTACACTCACATCAGAGGTGGGGACTTGCAAGTCGTGACTTGGACTCGAGTCAGACTTGAGTTGTTGATTTTTGGGACTTGAGACTTGACCTGATAAAATGGACTAAGACTTGGGACTTGACTCGGACTTGAGCCCTGTGACTTGAGAAGACTTGATGCTTCTTCTAAAAAATATGTGTTTAGAAAATACTTTTCTCTTTTACAGTTGATAAATGCGGTGCTGAATTTTACAGAAACAAACTGGAACATGCCCCTCCCACTTCTCTGTTTTTTACTTTGGATGTAACTGAAGTACTGTGATGGTATCCTCAAAAGTACTACAATAATATACAGTACAATACAGTATAATATAGTACAACACAGTAAAACCGAAGGAACTGCAGAGAATATGATCCTTCATGACAA